TAATTTCGAATGATTAATAATACTTAATAGTGATGAAGACGGCGTAATTATATCACAATCTTCGTCAGTTTCATTATCAATATCAATTTCTTCATCGATATCTTGACTAATATCATCTTCACTTTGATCGGAATGATCTTCGCTTGGAGTAGAAGTACTGTCATGATCACTTTGAAAATCGCTATCATATTCAGCTAGTTCCAAATTATCCAGTGGTAATTGTTTTATGATATGAACTCCTATTTGTTGTCGACTATTTATTGATATTAATTAAAATCAAAGATCCTTTAGACATTTAAACCGCTGAATTACTTAACTATACCTCATTGTATTCTTGAGATAGCGTGATATTCTCTAGCGAAGCTGACTCTATGTTATTTTGTTCAAATTCATCTATCTGCGCAATATCGAAATTCATTTCATTTTCATTATCGAAAGAATTTATTTCATTCACATTGTCCAAATAATCTGTTATATTTTCATTATCGCCATAATTCAATGTATTGAATGTTATAGGCTCTCGACTTATTGAAGTTGAAATAGGCCGATTAGAATTAGATAGTGAATTTTTTGGGATGGAAAACATATGGCTAGTATTTTTATTCCTTTGATGTTTTCGCCAAGTCCTCCAAGATAAAAGTTTTCCACCTTTTGGTTGGCATTTTGAACAAAAACATTTAGCATTAGGTATTTTACTCGTAAAAAAATAAAGTGACTTGAAGATAATATTTATTTATTAAAGGTTTGTATTTCTATGTTTATTCGCACGAAACGCCTCACAAAGTGCAATGACAAGATATAAGTTGGTTCAAGAAAATGAAACAAAAAATCGATTGCGCACTGATCAAACCCTCTACTTATACATCGAAATAAACTCTAAATTACTTAATCATTACTATTATCACTGCTAGAACAGAAATTCACCCGTCACTGCATTACCCCGGTAAAAGTGCCTTACATTTGAAGTTTTTCATTAGTTGTTTAAATATTTTCTATTTGTTTTTTTAAAAACTTTCATACATATTTACATTTTTATTTGACGGTAAATACAAAGATTTTTTGACAGTATTCCAGTAGTTTTTTCAGTTATAATAATTGCTGGCAAACTT